TTCCCAGGTCCGAAACCTCAAGGTATCGACCAGGTCCACGATCGGGGTATGCTGTCCAGGGCCGTGCTCAGCCAGAAGGGCCAATGCCATCTTTTGCACCTGTATGAAGCTAGTGTCTGACCCCCCCTTCCCAGCCGGTGTGGGTGTCTCAGGGAGGGACTCGGTATCCATCTCCTCACTATGCGAAGCCATGGCGTAGCGGGATTGGTGTGGGTATACGGTCCTCGTGGAACTTGACAGGTCACGTTACGCGAATGTTGGAGATAGTTGTATGGTGTTGAAAAAAGTGCAATTTGCACTTAGGAGGAAAATAGGGGGAACGGACCTTGTCCAATCGGGCGGGGGTATTACTCGAGAATTGTATCGGCGGGTGTTATCTTACGGTAAATCGCCCGTCGGTGCACTCCCACAGCCGGGCAAGCACCACATCCGAACGCACGGATATCTGCCCGTTACCCGGATAAACTACGGTGTATCACTGTACTCAAGTCGCCGGATTGAAGTCGCGTTTCCGTTTGAAGTATAATGTATCTTGGCATGGTAATGGGTGCTGTTTCGTAAGCAAAATTTGAAGTGCCGGACAAGAGTAGTCTTGTCATTGATTTCCCTTTGAAAACAGTGATCGCACTCCTTCTCTTCTTATAATTCATTTTCATATATTTATTATTTTATTAGCCATGAGCCTGCAAGATATGAAAGAGCATACTGTACGAGATAGCGACTCTTTTGCAAATGTCTGACCCATCTTCAGTACTTTATGATACTCGCATCCGGTACATTGAATGCTGCCTATGAAACTAGCCCCATTGCTACGCCAAGATGCATTATACCCCGAAAGGAAACGCGACTTCATTCCGGCGACTTGAGTATCCTGCTCACTTTACTCGAGTACTGTACTCGTACTTCTTTTTTTTTTTTCATTTCACAATGATAGGGTCCCAGTGTCTGCACTTTAAATTATCATGAACGTGGCAAATCACATCAAGATCTGCAAGGGCTGCAAGGGGGTTGAAAAGATCTAACTTTTATTGTAAATGCAAGTGATTAATCTAATCCACAACCCAAGCATTCGAACAGAGCTACCAGAACTGGAGTACGTTATCCCACATGGACACGTGAGCGACACTTATACTAGAAAAAGGGGAAAAGAAAGGAGAAGAGAAGGTAAAACGAAAATTGAAAAGACGAAATAGAAAAAAACATGGAATGCGAGAAATGGAAAGCAAATAAGAAGGAAATCTGTCGATCCAGCTAACCAACCCGCGATCCCGCAAAAGAGATCATTTATTCCAGCAATCGATAACTGTCTACACCCCGCTCAGGGATTTTTTTGGTAAATTGTACAAATAGAAAGTGAATCGTGAGATGAAAGGAGTTGAGGGGGAGAAAAAGATAGCGGAAAGGGGAAAGGATAAAAGGAGAACTGTACACCACGCGACTACAGGTCGACATCCTCGTCTTCTGTTTCGGCTTCGTTCTGCACTTGGCTATTGGCATTTTCCGCCCCTTCAACTGCATCCTGCATGGCAGCCTCCTCTTGGGCCTGCGCTGCCGCGGCCAACTGCGCATCCACCTCCTGAACCACAAAGAAATTTTCCAATTCCCAGCTCTCAGTTGGGCTCCCGATGAACTCCTCCTCCATATCGTCAGCGCCATTGCCGGATTTCGCCGGCCAGATATCCATGTACTTCTCAAGGATCTTCTTTGTAGCATTCATTCCACTCTCGTGAGCTCTATTCCACGCCTTCCTGCCTTCATTGTCCCTGGCGCGAACGTCGGCTCCATGCTCTAGTAGAATCTCGCACATCTGGGGATCCTCCCAGCAGGAGGCGGCGTACATTAGCGCTGTCGAGCCAGTGCTGTCCTTTGCGTCGATATTGGCTCCGTGCCTTAGTAGGACCCTGAGCATCTCCGGGTGCCCAGCCGCAGTCTCCGGGTGCCCAGCCGCAATGTGAAGGTGAGTCTTGAGGGTGGTGGGCGGGAGGTAGCCGTTGACGTCTGCGCCGCGCTCGAGGAGAAGATCGGCAACTTGAAGGTGCTTAGCAATGACGGCTTCGTAGAGGACTGTGGTAAAAGGACCCCTGATAGCGTTCACATCGGCGCCCGCGTCCACGAGAGCTCGGACAATCTCAAGACGGCCGGAGAAGGCGGCAGTGTGTAAGGGTGTAGATTCGGAGGAGTTTGGGACGTTGACATCTGCCCCTTTGGAGATCAGGTATTCCACCATTTCGAGTGCGCCGTTCTCAGAGGCTTGGTAGAGCGGGGTGGCATTGTCTGAGCCGCGCATGTTGACGTCCAGGCGCTGAGCGAGGTTTTCGTCCAGCATAAGTTTTATAGCTTCAAGAGAGCCCCAACGAGCCGCAAGGTGGAGGGCTGCATCTCCGTGGTTGTCGGTGTGTGCAAGCATGTCAAAGTCGCGGTTTAGCATGATACGGACGACTTCGGCGTGCTTATCAAGGTACTTGTTGCCACGAAGAAATATGGTGTGTAAGAGTGTCGCCCCAGAGCTGTTGGTAGCTCTGATATCAGCACCACGGGAAAGCATGTATTCGAAGGTGTCGGGAATTCCCTTCTCGGCGGCCCAAGCAATCGGTGGGTCGCCATCTCCATCTCTGGCAGACAAATCGGCATCCTGATCAACGAGAAGCTTCAAAATTGGGATAGTGCTGTTACCGCAAGCCCAATGGACGGGGGTTGAATTGTGATTGTCAATCGCGTTGACGCTGACACCACGCGCGAGGAGGATTTTGATTACCGTTTCGTTGTTGCTTTTTGTAGCCCAGTGGAGGGCCGTGGAAATGTGCCGACCGGTGCAACCAGGTAGCTCACACTTGTATTGAGAGCCGACGGGTTTCGCACCCTTAGAGAGGAGGCCGTGAAGGAGGGGGAGGTGACCGTACTGCGCGGCCCAGTAGAGCGGAGGAAATTCGTTTGTCTGAGAGGGCTGCGCCCCCAGGTAATAGAGGCGTGGAGTCAACAGGGAATGAACGGCCCGCGAGGTTTTGGTGAAGGCGGTGAGATCTTTAGCGGATAACTCCTCCCCTATCAAGAGCAAGAGCTCAGAAGGAATATCGAGGAGATTCATAGTGCTGCTCTTCGCTTTTTTTTTGATATTTTTTATTTACTCTGGAGACGGCAGATGGTGGGAAAGAAGGTGATGTGGTTGGTTTGGAGAGGTGGAGAGGGAAGGAGGTGAGTGAGGTGAGGTGAGTTTTCCTCGCTTGACCCACGAACAAACTAATTGTGACTTTTTCCCATGCCGAAAGAGCCTGACTCAGGGCAGTTGAACGTGGAACCCACATCGCCTATCGATTTGGCCAATTAGAATGCACGGACAATTCTATTGGTTCCAGGGTTGGTAGGACTTATCGGACCGGCATGAGCCCCACTCCAGGATCGAAAATCAATTGTTCTCTGGGGCCGGCTACTTATGTTTTAGGACCTGTTTGGCACACGGTGATTTGAGCTATTCGCCGTCTCAAATCATGTTTTGAAATATTCATGGTGTTTGGCTGGGTAGCAATTTCAAATCATGATTGGAGAAGATTTGAATCTAATGGTGGAGGATTTAGGGCTATAATAATGTCCTCTGTAATGAGAGTATTATATGCAGTAAGGTTTTTATTGTCATCAGACCAGTGGGTATACAAGGTTTTCCAAGTTTGATAGCACTCCAATCTCCTGAATGGTACTACCTCCACTTGGAGTATTTGAGCCAAGTCATATTCATGGTCATCTATAATATAAGAGAGGATCTCGAGTTGATTGGTCTCTCTAGGGCAGCCTATGAAAGATGGTATGATGTCTAAAAGTAGATCTGATATAAAAAAAATAGTGATGAAATCCATATTGATAGGAATAATTTTATCTAAGAAAAATTCCCTGAGTAAGATCCTGCTTGGCTTGTACCAATTTAAATAAATTACAATAAAAGTTGAAAATAGAATATATTCTGAAATGGAAAAATTGCTGCTCGGTAATGACCACAATTTTTTAACTTCTTATTCTACCCTAGTTTCAAACACTCAGTTTATAAAGTGGTTTGGACTGATTGATATAAAACTTTTCTAGTATGATATTATGATTCCAGAAGTCTAGACTATGTACCAACTTTTACATCAAAACTGTGACAATTTTGCATTTAACACTTCATGTAATACCTTGCAAAACTCTTACTCTATTTCCTTAACTACATACCTCTAGTACCTAGAGTCTCATATTAAAGAAATGATGACATGATATATGATTAATGAGCATCATATAGACGGAGCTTCTGAAAACTTGAAGCTTCTAGATAATTAATTAAAAAAAATATAAAAATAGTTGTAGAGAAAATGGTTTTAAGATAAGATATTATTTTAAATTAATATATATAAATAGAAGTAGATAAAAGAAGAAAAATTTCATTAAAGTAATCAAGAATTTCAGACTCTATAACTTATTAATGTGATGTAAGATATATATAAACATATCTCTTGAATGTCATAAACTGTGACTAAGCAAGACGGATTTTACATAGCTTGGGATTCCGAGCTACAGGTATGTTGGGATTTCACATGGCGCACATTAGTGCGCCATAGGTTATTATATTTACCTGTTCATGACTCAGAGTAGTGAGTCACATGATGTTATGATTTTTCACATGTGACTCAAATTATAAGTCATGGGTTTCACTCAGGTGATGTGAGTTGTCTACCTGATTTAGTTATAACACTTTGATTGGTTTTAGGTATATCATGCAGCTACTCATAGGAGTCAGCTGAGGGGTTTCACATGACTCATAGTTATGAGTCACAGGATTTACGTGAGGTAGGGTATGAGTCATGGCAGGTGAAGAGCGACTATATAAAGGGTCACTAGGACCTCGAATATGAGCTTTTCACATGTTCATTTCATTTATTTCCTACCTTATATTTTATCAATAAAACCTACTTTTACACTCTTTAAGATTTATCTTAAGAAATCCAAGAATTGTCTTTCCTCCTAAGCGAGAAGACTATCTCTTGTCCCATATTGAATGACAAAGTTCTAAGTAAGGACTTAAAAAGATTAAGGAAATAGGCGCGATACAATAGGAGTCAAAGAACTAAGCTATCAACATCGCGTAGGCATTGGCCTAAGAACTATTACCTTACTACAAGTAAGAATTATTACCTGTCGCACCCCCGACCCCGGTAGGATTCTTAACATTCAAACATGTCTACAATGCAACACTTAATGATTACACCAAGGCTTCCCTCAACCCAGACAGGGAAGGAGATTTGGACATAAAAGATGAAGGCTTTGGACTAGAAGGATTCTACAAAGCACTAAGCGAAGCAAGTCAACATTCAGCCAGAACTGCAAGTCCCATCATCCTAGAACTGGTCACTCCCCTAAATGCAGAAGAAGCACCTGATACTCCAGAACCTGAAAGGATGTCAGGATCCGCACCACTGGCAGGTCTATCCCCAGCAGGACTGGCACCTCCAGTATTGATTCCCCGCGAAGAAGTGGAACAAATGATACAAGACATACTTCGGGGAGGAGCTCAGAAGCTGAAAGTTAAGCTACTACCAAAATTTGATGGCGAAAGGAGCAAACTACAAGGGTTCATGGTCCAACTCTTTACCTACTTTGATGGAGTAGGATGGATACAAGGAAATGACAAAGACAAGATATGATATACTCTAACACTACTTGAAGGAGCAGCCCTATATTATGTAACTCCCATAGTAGTCAGTCAGATACCAGTACTAGGAACTGATTGGAACAGCTTCAAATCATATTCGAGGCCCAGTTCACAGACATGGAACTAAGCCAATTGGCAAAGAACAAATTAGAAGAAATCAAACAAGGAGGAAGGAATGTTACAGACTACTGGTATGAATTCAGACTCCTCCAATACGACGCTGAATGCGATAAAGCATCAGCTATGAGGTGGTTTATGAAAGGCTTGAGAAAAGTTTACCAAGATGCATGGAGATACATTGAGGAAAGATTTACACCCACTGAAGCCATGGTCCATTGGGCCACTCAAAAAGAAATTCAATTCGGACAACTTAACTGGATTTAAAAAAATGATCCATCTGCAACTCAGTCCAACAACTGGCACATGAGAAATCAAGGTACACCTAGGAACCAAAATGGAACCTTTCAAATCAGGGCTCAAAGAGGCGATGCAATAGACCTATATACGACCAGGAGAAGACAATCATTTAATCTCTCAAAAGATGAATACCTTTGTCGATGAAGCAACAATCTATGTCTAAAATGTGGAATAGGAGGACGCATGATCAAGGATTGCAAACAGCCTGCCAACACAGTTGCGGATCTAGGAAGAGACCAGCGAAATACACAGCCATACCCTAAATTGCAATTATGCAGCAACCTAAGAGAAATGGAAATTGTAGACTAGTATAAAATAGTGGCAAAAGACGAAGGTCCCCAGTATTAGATAGTCTGTACGATCCACTGAAAGACAAATCCATCTCCATGGCCAACTACTACACTCTTTAAAGCACAAAAACGAAGGACAATGACAATGATTATATTATGATTAAAATAAAAATATACAAGGACAAAAAACAAGCCACGATAATACATGCAATGCTAAACTTAGGGGCAACTGAAAACTTTATTGATGACGGCATCCACAAGAAGTACCAACTCAAAATCAAGAAAGCAAAACGAGAAAGGCAGATTTACCTTGCGGATGGAATACCCAGTGCTATGGGACCTATAACCCATACCACACAAGTACCTATGGAAATCGGAGACCATAGGGAAGTGGCTACCTTCTAAGTGGCAAATCTACAACACTATGTGATTATCCTAGGGATGCCATAGTTGAGACAACAGGACTCTACATTGGATTGGAAAGAAGGAAAAGTTAACTTTACTAGTGAACGATGTATGACAGTGTCTCAACAGTTTATCGGTAGCATATGTGACTGTCACGGTTATGGCCACCTGGCTATGGATACGGAATACGTATGGGGTTTTGGTTGCATATATTGGTTGTGGTTTTCTTGGTTGCAAAGTGGGATTTCCTTTGTATAAATGATTGGGATGCATTGCCGCGCAATAGAAGGTGGTGGAACTAGACTGAAGGATCACGGCGGCACACGACGCCAAGGACTTTCTTTTGTATTAGTGATCATGGAGGATTTCCTTAATATATAAAGGGGTGTGCCCCTTTATATTTTACTTTCTTTATGCAATCTGGTAATCTCCTTTGGACACCCTTTCTTACGTTCCAAGGATACACCTAAACTCCATGTCATCCCTGACTTTATCTCGCGATAACTTCACGCCTTGTTCGTGAAGGAATCTTTACCTTCGCTTACACTTATTAACCTCGAAGGGCCTAGTCCTTTCGTTTGTTACATTTAGGTTCTTCGTTTCCATCGTTCGTTTGCTTCGCTCGGTCGCTTCGATGTCTAAGCGAGGTTCTTCCCTTTCGGCGGGCAAGGTCGCTGCGGCCTTGTCTTCCCTCTCGGCGTCGGTCAATGAGGCTTCTCTTCTTCGGAAGGAGGTCTCCCGCCTTCGCCACCACGTCTCGGTACTGTCTCGTCGACTCCACTTGTCGGAACAGGAGCGTGCGGCCTTAGTTGCGGCTAGGCGTTCGCCCTCCCCTCCGTTCTGCGGGCTAGGGGACATGACGCCACCTCCCAGCAGGGGGGTGGCTGAAGAAGAGGAGGAGGTGGCTACGGTGCAGCTGCCCACGGTGGCATCCTTCCCTTCGGGGATGCAGGCACCTGAGCCATTCGTGGCTGAGCCCAGGGTGGTGGCTGGCCCTGCCGGTGTGGCGTCATGGGTGGTGGATGATGCACCTGTGTTCGCGGATTTGTTCGTCGGTTCTTTCCCCCCCCCGGCCGGACCGGAGCTGCCATTGGCCCCCGTCGATGAAGGATCGGTTGATGGGTCTATCTCGTCGGACAGCTCGGTGGTTATGGTATTGGTGGATGTTGCTGTGGGTCCGGACCTCCCCCCTGGGCACTTTCCTCGTGGGCACTGGCCTAATAGAGAGAACCCGTATGTGGCGGGGCGGTACAAGACTGGGTTCCCATCGGTGGCGCCTGTGGGGCGTCGGGCTTTGAGCTCGCCTCCCAGTATGAGTAAGGGAGTTAGCATGTCTGACTTTCTCGGGTTGAGGTTGCTGGGGCAGCAGGCTAGGAAGCGGG